TAAATACATTTTAATTTAGAAATTAACGTCAATCGAAAATTCTAAATTGCTGCTGTTCAGGGCTATGTTGGTTCTTGCAAACCGATTGTTGCATCCAGTCGCTTATATTGAAAATAAAAAGATTTAAGCAAGTATTTCTTGCACCAGACTCAGGACCAGAGATAATTCAAAGTTTGCTAATGTTAACAGCATTATAATACATGCAGAAACGTACATTTTTTTATAGATATTAAAAATTTAGGCTCTATGACTTGTATACTATGTCTATTATAGTCTATAGGATTTCAAATCGATGCATGCATTCAAATTCAAATTAGGTCCACCCATGCCCCACGGCCCACGGCCAGTGTAGCTGTCAGCTGACTCAGCTCACCTTTCTTCAGAAGTGTGAAAGCTTTTGCCGGTGAAGCCGGAAGGTGTGTTTTACGATTGGTCCGTAAAGAAGCGTTGATCAGTTCAAAATGACATAAGAACAGGAACAGGTTCTTTTGAATAACCTATGGATTGGCACCATGCGTACCTATTACCTAATATGCACACAGAACATCACCTGGCACTTAACATTAGTCAATACTACTCAATAGTTGAATAGTCTAAATAAATGTCCAATACCTAATTAGTTAATACCTAGGTATTAACTGCAAGTCTCTGAACATGTATCATAAAGCCATTAACTGGATAAGAAAAATTGACAACGCACCGGCCACCAGCCTGCCAGGCAATGCTGCTCTGCTATTCTCACTAGGCTACACTCTACCGTTGTTTCGGTAGTTTGAGTAACTGAATTTATAATGCCGCGGGCCCGCGGCCCGTGAAAGACAAACCCCACCGTTACGGTGAGTCGGTGACCGTACAATCAAGATGACGTCTCTTCCCATCAACAGCCATAGCCAATGTATTGAATGTAGTTATGTAGAGATCCAGCCTAGCTCCCAGTCCCAGGATCTGAGTAAACGGAAACATTTATAATTATATCCACACACTTGTAAATATATATTTTTTTTTATAATTGAATTTGAAGGCTTCGAGTGCTTATGCACTGCCCAGCCTGATCTCTGTCATTAGTTGCAGATATAAGGAAGAGACTTGGGCCAAGCCCCAAGCTAGAGAGCTCTGGGCAAGAATGGCTGCGGCATGCACCAAAGGTCAGAAGATCTTTTTCATGCAGCAGAGATGTGAACCTTCAAAAAGTAAATTTGACATGCCAATTTCCTACAACATGCAAGCCCAGTCAGAGTAAGTCACTATGCTGAATGACAGTGGCATGCAGAGTTTCATCTATACATTAAAGTGCAACATGCATACCAATTACACTAATAAGCGAGAACACGAGAAACATGCATGATTGGAATATGCAGTGAGAAAAAGAGAAAAAAAAATAAACTAAAAAAAAATAAATAATAATAATAATAATAAATAAGTAAATAAAAGAGAAAACAAAGAACAAAAAAAAAGAAAAAAAAACACCTCCTCAGAGGATCAACATCAAGGGCGGCCACTCAATTATTTTTTTTTTAGGTTACATCAGGGCAACCACTCCGCATTGCAGCAAATATTGCTGCAGATATGAAAATATCTGGTGACGCTGTTGGTTGGTGACGCCTGCTCCTAAGGCTGTCTGCAGCCCCCAAGGAAGCCCAAGCGCAATCACTGCACTCATGAAGGGTGCTCTTTGACCAGTGAATCTGGTACAATATAATAAGAAATGAGCTATATTGTCCTCTACTTGACATACTGTGCAAACTCCAGTTGCTGCCATTCCAAATCGAGCACGGTGAGCAGCTACACCAGCATGGCCAAGACGGAGGCCTGTCTCTTATACACATCTAGATGTGTATAAGAGACAGGCCCCACACAACTGACACTAGAGTCCCCCATCCCAGTGGTGTCCAGTCCAAGAGGACCAGGAGAACTCTCCAACTCCATCACAGGAGAGTCAGGCACACGTTTTGCAACTCTCTTTGGATGTCGAAAGACTTCAATGTCATCATCACTACTGGCTACTGCACCAAGATTGCGTTCCCGCTTCTTGCCCGCAGAGACAGCTGAACCCAAAGTAGCACTTGCACCTTCAATCAGAGCCATGTCTTCCTCTAGAAGCTCAAATGTAGGAACTCTCACCTGGTTGTGGTTGATTCCGTCATTAGCTTCAACATCAAAATTGGCTGCCACTATGACTGGAGAAGCCAACCCTGTCGCGTCTGCCATGGCAGCACACGCTCAGGGGCGGCAAACGAGAAGAAAAAAAATAAATAAATAATAAAAATAACTAACAAAAATAAAATAATTAAGTAACAAACAAAAAGTAAATTAGGAAAACTAAACAGAACGTATGAATAGGCTATGTGATTTTTGCTACAAATAAGGCCCACAGAAAAGCAATTATCGAATGCCAAGTCTCCTCAATTGTCAGGGAAAACGATCAATTAGCATCGAGTACCCCAAGAACAGAGCAGCTAATAACACACGTCCGCCCGACAGCAAAGCCCGTAACGGAATCACACTTGTAAAGTTGTGCGGCTGCGCCGCTGCCGCGCTGCGGCCAGAGCCCAGAGGCAGAAGGCAACCCAAGTTAGGTACCCAACAGCTGAACTGCACGGCACCAGCCACCAAGGCAAATGAAAGATTCAGCAATAAACCGCGGAACAACTTCTTCCGCAGTTTGGCTAATCGAACAGCAGACAATTTATCGGGAACCTATAATGATATATTAAAGTATAATAGTGTTAGCGCTGATGAATATGCCAAGTTTGGCCTGCCGCATGCTTTTGATTTTCAATCACAGGATATCTAAAAACTGGACTTTTGAAGAGTTCGCCTCATAACTATTTTTGAAATAAATACCAAATGGACTTTAACAAGTCCGTGACAATATACTGAGTCTTATTTATGCACCTTCCGATATAACACATAGTTGAACTAGTATATATAATTCAACGATGGTATAACAGTTCTAAAAGGACGACAGGTGTCACTAGGACCCTGTCAACGATTTATTTCGCGCTCTTTTCTGGTTCAAAACCAATAATAATTCTTAAATACATGTGAGTGGGTGAGTACTTGGGCAAAATTTCTGCAGGGTTATTTATATATTAAATAGTGAATTAGCACCAGCTTTAGGTCTCACGAGCCGATGGTAGTAGTAGCGCCCGTCGAGAGACGGCTCCCTACACCCGGAGCATTCGCACGCGATTAACAGGAAAATAAGGACTTCCAAACTGCACAAATGAATGCTTATATTTATACAGAAATTACACGCAGTATATACAGTACGTATGTGATGTTCGGAAAGACAGTCTGGCTATCGTTCATACATTGTAAGCGACATAAAGAGACGGCAAGCGCTGTCTAGGTGGAAACATAGACTATGTATGTTATGGTACAGTTAAAATTATAAAAGAGAGGAACGCTTTTCAATTTTCATAAAAATTCTTCATGCGCACGAGTCAATTTTTACTCTCTAAGTGAGTGACAAGACATTATGAAACTTATGAAAGATTAATTGAGCAATGTGAATGTGCATTAGAGCACGTAACGCATCCCAATAAATGATAAATCTGTGGGGGTTTTCTTTTACCACTCCACATTAAATTATTTAACTCCTATCAGAGAACTGAATGGCCTGGCTAGTTGACCTGAATTGTTTACCAATGCACGGACAGAAACATAGATATCGGCAGGACGAATTTGGTTGGGAGAAATGAACACACAATAAATTGTTAGGTTATTTATTAGCTCAGCTCACGTGACCTGCTCGTTTTGATGCAGGAGGTTGATGCGCGTCCAAGGGCCACCGTAGTTGGGTTGTAGCGTTGATTAACGCTTGGTTGAGTGGCGAGACGTTGGCGAGCTTATTCAATGCAGGGTTT